TCCACGTGCGCGCCCGGCCGCCGGCTCCTCTCTGCCTCTCGCCCGCCCCGCCCCGCCGGGCCCTCCCCGGAGCCCCAGCTGCCGGCGGAGGGGCGGGCCGTAGCCGGGCGCCCGGACCCCTCTGCTTGGGACATCAGGCATTGTCGGTCTGGTGGGCTGCAGTCGTCGTGAGAGGGACGAGGCGGGGAGGGACACCTGGCTGTCCCAAAAAACACTTTTAGGTGCTTTTCCTTCCTCCCCGGTAAAGCAGCAGAGCTTGCTGCCCCCCGCTAGGCAATGCCTCCCTTTGCAGACACTGCTGCTCTGGGCGTCAGAGAGCGACCACCCGCCAGGTCTGCCGCCCGCCCGCAGCCTAGGGGCCCATTTCTTCACACTGCTCTCACCTCCTCCACTCTCCACTGGGGCAAGGTCTGAATCCCGCCCCCTTACCTGCACCGTTATGAATCCATCCCTCTGCTGCCCCTCATCGCTCTTTGTGCCTTGAGCATGCAAGTCTACCACCATCTTTCCTCACTGGCCTGCGGCCCAGCCTACTGCTGATATAAAAGAGGGTTATCCAGGGAAGAAGAGGCACCATAAAGAGAAGCAGGATAGAAGACACTGGGAAAGAAGGAATGACTAAAGAAAGCAACAGTACCTCCGCCTCCTAGCACAATTACATGAGGTGCTTGAGACAGGCTGGAGGAGACCTGGGTCACAGCTCCTTAGAGCTTAAGATCTGATGCACCTTCCAACAGTCTGGGCCTTGGCTGATGACGCGAGGTCATAGAAGATGTCTGCTGCTTCCTCCTTCTAGGTGTAAAGGGAACAAGCAGAATAAACTTGCTGTGGGGAAAAGGCAGCCATTCTTATCCCAACACATCCTCTTAAGAGCCAACTCCATTCCCTTTGCTGCCTGTTTCTCCCTCCAGCTGTGCATTAGATGATAGCTGCAATGCAGGACAGCATGAAAGTAAAGTGTGAAATTTGTCACACAAGAGGCATGATACTTGGCAGGGCCCTGAAAACCTTCCCTGCTTTTTATGAAGAGTTGTATTATGTATGTGCTAATGAGCCGCTGCTCACTGAGTCACAGCAGGGTAAATTAGCCCACGCTGAGTTCCATGCTGCCATGGCTAGACAGCTAACATGACCCAAGCTAGCTCATGCATCTCTTAGGGCCCTTCTTACACCTTATGCTGTAAGTCATACAAATGATAATTGGCTTAGTTGAGCAGTCACACCTTAAGGCAAAAAACCATCTCTGACTGTTGTTCACCTGCACAGCTGTGACTTGCCACTAGAAGCTTGGTGAGCAAGTGCGGGACTAGGAGCTGTGCAGGGCCCCAGAAGTGGTCCCCCATAATGTTCTCATAAATGTTCCTTGTGCTTTTCTGTGATTAAAAACTTGTTAAGTCCCCTAAATCTGAGCCCTTTTCAATCTTCAGGGGTAAAAGGTGGTTGAATCCCAGGTGACACCAGTACCCAAGGCACACAGGGGCTGGGGTGCCTGTGGCTAGGTGGTGGTTACTGGTTATAGGGGAGCACCACACAGGAAGCACTGTGGCTGCTGGGCACTCTCCCTGGCAGTAGCAATGAATCAATCCGAGCTGTGGCACTGGCTCTGTCCAGCAGGAGCAGTGAGCTAGTCTGGGTGGCAGCTGGAGGCACCTCGGCCACTGGGCACTCCAGGGATGGCACGCTGGCTCAGCTTGGCTTGCTGCTTCTACTAGGCAGAGCCAGTGCCACTGCCCAGACTGGCTCACTGTTCCCAGCAGACAGAGCCAGCACAACCCTGGAGCTGGAATACTAGAAGACTTCAACTTGGGTGGAATATCTGTGGGGAGTGCCCACACCATAATGGAACAGGAGCAAGGTTGTATGGATTAGAGATCATCCTGCCCTGAAGTGGCATAACTTTAAGCCAAATACCAAATGCTTTATGCCACTTAAAGGTGTTGACGTGCAGCCAATCCAAGGGCTAAGAGCTCCAGAAGCTGCCTAAAATTACTGTGAAACAAGGTCTTTAATGATATGCTGTATTGTACAGTTGTAAATGCTCGCAGTCTCTCCGATACCAGTTGTCTTAACTTGCTACAGGATCTAGTGTCCCTAAGTTTAGAGAGTCTGTGGGAGTCCTTTAAATCCTTCCCCACGCAGGAAAAGGAAAGAAGTGAAATGCACTGAGTTTAATTGCCAAGCTACTCAAGTTTCATGCAAAACTGGCTCAACTAAGTCTTTAAAGGGTTGTTTTGGTTGGTTTTTTTTACATCTTAAATAATGATTAATTTGAGGTAACAATTTTTTAACTCAAAATGAATTAATACCACAGCATTTTAAGTTTTCTGGATTAATAACTTTGAGCTCACATAGGCTAATGTGCATTAAAGCATGTGTGTAGATGCACCCTAAGAGCTGGAATTTTCTGAGGGGTACCTGAAATCTAAGGAAGAGTGACTTAAGTTTAAAAGGTTGAGAACCACTGGCATATACATAGATTATGCCTATGGTCACTTCTAAACTCCATGCAGTATTTGCATATGTTTTATTGCAGGACAAAGTAGATACAATCCACCACTGATCTGAGTACTTTATCTGTATGTAGGTAAAAACATAAGGAATTACTTTAGACATTAACTGACTTTTTTCGTTTACTGTTTTTTACAGGAGAACTAAGCAAGAAGCTTGAGCGGAGACAGATAGCATTAGTTTGACATCAGACAGAAAAGAGGGTAGAGTTGCAACCTTATAGACTAACAATAGAGATGTGTAAGCTTTTGTAATCAACTGCTTACTTCAGATGCTATGAAAGGTCATGCAGAGAGCAGGCTAACAAATAGACCAATGTAAATACAAAAGACAGGGAAGGTCTTGTTTCGAGACAAACTGAAACTAAATTGAACTAAATTGAAAGGATTAAAAGTTTCCCAAGAACAGTTTCATGATGATTTCTGGAGAGAAATACCTGTCTTGGTGTTTCTATATTGAATTTGTAAACTAAAAAGGCAAAAATTCCTTATATGACTTGGTCCCTTCTATGATAAGAAAGTAAAGTTTCTGATAGGAAATGTTATAGTGTATGATTCATAAGAATTTAATTATATCCATTCTAAGGTGAATTTTAAAGAATCTATTAGGTTGGTTGATTAGATATTCATTTTGTGTTTACCTTAGATTTTTAGAAGAGGGTGGAAAGTTCAAGAGGGTCTGGAAAATTCAAAGTTAAAAGCAAAGTATCACACACGTAATTGGTTTGTGGTCTTCAGGACTCAGTGTCATGTTAGAAACTTCAGGCATTGATATCTTTTCAGATTCCACAGGAAGTTTGAAGGATATGCCTGAAGAAGGGCATTTATGCCCAAAAACTTGCAAAGAACAATTTTCCAACTATTTCCAACAAGAACCTTGTCTGCCTATGTCCTTAGACAAAGATGGCTACAACCAACAACCCTAAATTTGTTTTAACTAATTTTTAACTTATAAAATGAGTGTATATAATCCGGAAATACTGAGAGGGTAAACATGGAACTCTATAATCCCATTCTTACAACTAGCTTTTAGAGCCATGTTTTCAAATCACATAATTTTGACAATGCCATTTTGCATTTCCTCTTTCCCCCATTTCATCTGACTTAGTTTTAGTGATCCTCTTCTCAGAAACTTAATACTGTGGGGAACTGAAAGAGGAACCCTGGGCGGAACACGGAGCCGTGGGAAAAGCGAGACTCACCCTAAGAGATGTGAAGGTCAGGACTCCGACTGGCACGGCACCAATGTGTTTTCAAAGCCGGTGCTCCCTCCAGATTTGAGGAGGGAGCCCACAATGAGTGATTTCATGCCCTGGGAAGGGGCAGTGGATGGAGAACGCAGGTGGACCAGGAGGCAAAGTACGTCTGGGCTTCACTGGGTCCAGGAGCAGAAGTTCTCCCATGAGTGGAGAGGAGCATCTGCAGCATCTAGTGATGATCGGAGGATTATCAGATAACACTGGTGAGTGCGGCAGTGGAATGCTGCAAAAGAAGATTGAAAGCTTTGGACCTGGCGGGAAACAGGGGGCCATGGCCTGATGATAATGAAGACTAAAACCACTCAGCTATAAAGGCTCAGGGCCAGTGAGTAAGCAGCTGGTGAACCACTGAGCTTCTAGGGGCTTTATGTATTTATTCTGTGTGTGTTCTGCAGGTTTTGTTTTCATTTCCAGCTAGCCTGTCTTGAAAGGT